CTATGACCTTATGACCTGAGGTAGGTGTATTGGTATACAGTATATACAATATGGCATAGTATGAACAGCTCTGAAATAGAGAATGGTGAGTAAATAAATAATAAGGGGAAACCAGTAAACAGGTGGCTGATTACAGGCAGAGTTACTGGGTTATTGCACAGGAATTGTTCCTGACACTGTGAGTCAGAAATCAGCTGTTCATCAGAGTGATGGCTTGTGGGAAGAAACTGCTTCTGTGTCTGTTGGTTTTGGCGTACAGTGCTCTGTAGCGCCTACCAGAGGGGAGGAGCTGGAACAGGTTGTGTCCGGGGTGAGATGGATCTGCAGTGATGTTTCCTGCCCGTTTCCTGACTCTTTTTCTGCATTCCTGACTGTCTGTTGTAGTCTGCTCCTGTCCTTTTTGCTGGCAGATCCAAACCAGACAGTGATGGAGGTGCAGAGAACAGACTGGATGATGGCTGTGTAGAACTGGATCAGCAGCTCCTTAGGCAGGTTGAGCTTCCTGAGCTGACGCAGGAAGTACATCCTCTGCTGGGCCTTCTTAATGATGGTGTCAGTGTTGGGCTCCCACTGCAGGTCCTGAGAAATAGTGGAACCCAGAAACCTGAAGGATTCCACAGCAGACATAGGGCTGTTGAGTATGGTGATGGGGGGCAGAGTTGGGGGGGCTCCTCCTGAAGTCCACGGTCATCTCCGCAGTTTTGAGCGTGTTAAGCTCCAGGTTGTTCTGACCGCACCAGAGAGCCAGCTGATCAACCTCCCGGATGAGGCTGATGACCGTTGTGTCGTCAGCGAACTTCAGGAGTTTGACAGATGTGTCCCCTGAGGTGCAGTTGTTGGTGTAGAGGGAGAAGAGCAGTGGGGAGAGCACACACCCCTGGGGGGCGCCAGTGCTGATAGTCCGGGTGCTGGATGTGATGTTCCCCAGCCTCACCTGCTGACTCCTGTCAGTCAGGAAGTCTGTGATCCACTGACAGGTGGAGGCTGGCACAGTGAGCTGGGTGAGTTTGGTGCTGAGGATGTCCGGGATGATGGTGTTGAACGCCGAGCTGATGTCCACAAACAGGATCCTAGCATATGTTGGTGTGAGGTGTTGCAGGATGTGATGCAGTCCGAAGTTGACAGCATCATCCACTGACCACTGACCTTCATGAATGGAATACAGTTATTATCCTTAAGATCTTCTGTATAGCCCAGTTTGTCCAGCATTTTTCAGAAATAGTTTTTCGGTATATTTGCGTTCTGTCTTTGCTAATAGTGAAACAAAGATAAGGAGAGACCACCTTTATTTCTCAAGATTCACACTATGTACACATGATGTGTTTGCTGCCTCCAGTGGTAAATACATGTGTCATATGTACGTTATATGTACTATTAAAGCTCACATGCCAAATCAACTAGAACTGAAAACTTAAAGGAGTACTCCACTGAGTTTACACATGAGGTTCATCATGAGGAGTAGTACTCTGTGACAACTATAATATAATTTCCTCTGAGGCTTTGAATTATCTTGTCAAAGTCTTGGCTTGGACTTGGACAAAAAGGGCCATCCTGTGTTGTAATACTGTTTGTGCCTCGGGGTATGATAGCGACTGTCAGCCCTCAGTCCAACATGAAAAGACAAAGTAGAGCTGCCATTCGGGCATATAATGTTGAAAGCGGGAGAGCAAGGGAGAGCGGGGTGATTTGAGCCTGTGGGGAAGTTTAGTGATAGACAAAATTGGTCATGTGACTACACATTTTTGAAGAGTCATCCATTTTACTTACCCTGTGACGAAGAGAGGCCCATGGAATAAGTGATAAGCACATTTAAGATTAAAAAAACTGTTTTTTGCCATTCAAAGTGATTTTTATATATTTAAGGTGTCCTGATTCTTGTCTGAACACTTATAGACAGGTTTGAGAAAATCTTACGTATGTGTTAGTGCTTAGTGCTTTAGGAAGTTACAATATGAGGCTATACCGTTAACATGACATTACCCTTAAACTACACAAATTTGTTACAATGGCAGGGATGGGGTAATTTGAGCAAAAAGACCTGGGGGAAGTTGAACCAGATATTTTGCTGTAATTTGACATTGCATTCTAATGCATCACAGAAATGATGTGTGACATTATGCATTTTGGACCAGACACCATCATCTCATGCTTCTATAAATGGAACACAGACAGGCTTCATCTCCTATTGTGGGTTTGGACAGAATAGTATGAGAGGTACAAAAATGTGAAGTCTATTCATCATTGTCATCAGGTGGCACGGGATATGACGATAAACAGGATGACTTTAAAGCGATACATTGATATGAAATAACTAGGAGACATAGCTGCAATGTTTCACTATCTAAGTGCAATTGAATCTTGTGTTTGAGTTTGCACATGAAATGACATTGATGTCCCCGATGCCCATGTGGCTCATCCTCTCCCTTGGCTCAACTTACCCCTCATATGGGGCAAGTTGAGCCAAGAAAACAATTTATTTTAGATCCAAATTGATCATTCCCAGGGATGAGCCACATCTTAAAATATATATAGATATTTTACTTGGAGACATTACTGTCATGTCCTCACTTTAAAGACTCCTCAAGTAAAAACTAGCTCAACTCACCCCACTCTTCACTACCCTAAAATTTGGCACATTGTTGTAAACGTAAATGCTGGCTGAGACAAACCAGCCATTCCTCTCCACCACTGTTAACTTTACCTGTAGGCAGTGAATTACAGCAGCAGCAGGAAGGAGGAGGAGGAGGAGGGCAGGAGGAAGGGCCGATACTGAATGATGTAGGAGTTTTTCATTCTTTCTTTTTTGTTTCCAGTGAGATATTATTGTGTTTATATTGTGACTTTGCTGTTGTAAACGTTAATGTTGCTGATCTAAAAAACAACATTTAGTTATATTTTTAAATATTCAATTCTAATCCTGTAGTGAATTTTAAAACAACCTGGCTGCTAAATGGCACACTTCAATATTTTTTATTTACCACAAGTCATACAGTCATCAATATGGAACAATGTTATCACACATTGCACACTCATGTTGTGCCAACCTAATAAACAATATAAATTATAAATGATCTGATTCTGATAAATTATCAAAAATGCATCCCACACTTGCCAGCCCTTTTGATTTCTCGGGCCCTCTCCCCGCTGTTCTGTTGGAGTTTCAATCCCCCCCCCCCACATGATGAAATATCAAAATCTGCCCCATTTCTGAATAACATACTTTTGTGTATATTTCGAGTGACAGAGAGCAGCAGACACACACAGGCAGCAGATCATCACACAAGGCGGCAATCCTTTTAACTTTATTGCAGAAAAAGCCACGCCTGCTAATCCAGAAAGACATAAATATGTAATTTATGATGTTGTTATAAAGATAAGCGCAGAGGAGCAAAATCGCTTAGAGAGTAGTCTGGCTGAGAGGGAGGAGAAGGTAAAATGCTGCCTCCTATTTGTTCGGAGCATCTGGCCAGGAATGGCACATTCTACTTTTTTTCATTCTGGGTAATGTAGTATCCAGTGTTTTGGTACTTGATACTAATGACTAAGAGACAGGATATCAGGATATAAGTGTTACTAACTTACTGGAGTACAGTAGTAGTCAGTAAATTATTAGATTAAGAAAGTAACCAACCAAACTCCTGGTTATGCCAGTGGGTTAAGTGAGACATGACAGCATGAGGTTAGAGAGCCTGTGTGTGTGTGTGTGTGTGTGTGTATGTGTGTGAGAATAGGGTTTGGATATATTCCATCTGGTTGGGGGTATACTCAAGTAAAAGAAAAAAATCCACACAGGGAAAGCTGGGTACACAGCAGAAATCCAGCCCTGCTCCCCCAACCTACCACCACACCCACCCAAATCCCAGTCAGCCTCTGTAGATTTTATAGAAAGCATATTGTGGAGAAGCTGCCCGTCCCCCTCCTTTCTCTCTTCCTTTCGTCTCCTCGTCTGCTGTGATAATTAGTAGTGGGCTAATACTGGGGGTTGAACAGCGAGAGTGAGGGCTCAGAAATCCCCTTTTCCACTTCAATGGGGTAACTACAGCAAAGGTCACTCCCCACATGATCACCAAGTGTTTGCAGATAAAGTCTCCTGTGTTCGAGTGGCTTACATTTAACAGTAATCCAGCAAAAGTGAGCCTGTGTTGAACTCAGACAGCCAAAACCCTGCACTGTAGTTTTTTTTTTTGGACTGTGCTAAATCAGGGCAGGGAAAAAAGTGAGACAACTAAAGTGAGACTTAAGGGCGGGAAACTCCCAACTCATTGTAACAGGAAAAGGCAATGTCCTAACACACCGGGGAATATTAGAGGTGTCCGTCATGTAAGCCGAGGCTCTATAGAGAAAACCTCATCTCTATTCACCTCCATGCCTCCAACATCTGCTGCTGGGGCACTCCAGAGATCATTAACCCTTTCACTGCGCTGCATGGCTCTTTGTTGCAGGGAGGAATTCAGAGTGGACAGAAGAAACATCTCCTTTGTGGATGAAATCGTTCAAGGTCAATTGTTGAGTGCAAAAACACAGGCAGTTGTTCACATAAAGATTCTCCCTAGAATGCGGAACTATAAAACATTATAACTGTGAATAACAATGGCTTAAACAAAAAAAGTCCTCCACTATTACAGGTCATGCCTTATGTGTTTCACAGTGGCTTCCACAGGGATGAATTGGCTCAGAGCACAAAGAAAAACAAGATAGATTTTGTGGTGTCTCCATGTTTTGTGTGTTCTTCCAAAACAATGCTGAAGGTTTAGCATTTGTGTATGTTCCTCATTGGCTCATGCGTGTACTCTTGTTTACATGTTCACATGTCGTTGAAGGGTAAGCCTTTGGCTGCCCAAACTGAAACCCAATCTCAAACCGACATTCTGGAAAACCCTGCGCTCGAATTCCCCCCCGACAAACCCTCCTACTTTTATAGCCCATTAGAGTGAAGCCAGAATGCGAACATGAGCTCAGATGCACAATCCAACATCACTTTTTTCTCTTTGTCTCCTCAGAAACTTCAGACTTTTCAGAGCTTGAGCTGCCCCGGATTCTCGGCCACCGATGGCTGCCAATCAAGCTTGTCCCCTCCTACCTTTGAACCCTCCAGCCAAATAGAGTCAGACTTCACTGCTGTTCCCGAGCTGGGTCTGGAGTCACGGCAGGAAGTGGCAGAAGATGATGAGGAAGAGGATTCATCTTACGAGGAGCTGGATAGCGACTCTGCTTGTAGCGTGGACTCACGGCCCGGTTCTACTCTTGAGGGCATTGTGGGCGGTAAACGCACCCTCTGGAAGGGTGACCGTGGGACACAGAGGGACATTTTCCAGCTCGGGGGAGAGCTGGATCTTGACCAGATTGAAAGGAACTGAACATTTTACAGGAGAATTTTGTAGAAAGGTATTGGACATTGATGTACCAAGAGATGACCAAGAAGAAGGGCTGTGGGGGGAAGAAAAGGTAGAGGAGTTTTTTTGTTAACTTTGAAAGGGAAAGACAAGGAAAGTGATATAGATGATAAAGGATTAAGTATGTTGTCGGATTGTTTCTTATCGACGCATTTGCCTTGAACATTCTTACTGTTTGAATCAAAAAGCAGTGAACTTAGTTGTTTATTGGGTATTGAGCTTAACTCAGGAGTAGGAAAGTGAGGGTTATTCTTAAAAAAAACCCAGCCCCCACTGTTTTTTCAACCTGATGACCTTTCCAAAGTCAGCTAACCTTAGATTTGTAGTACTGTAGCAGTAGCTGGGCTCTCCTGTATGTAGCTTGACACTTTTTTTGTTCAGAGAAAGTGGGGGCGTCAAGGATGGAGTGAAACAGGGAGGGGTAAACCACAGGAAGAAGTGTCTTTTCACAGACTTACCTTTGACCTTCCTCTTCATCTTTTGTGCACACTTGAAAATCTGATTTAAATTTTTTGCTGAATGTATGCTCAATAAGCTTTATGAGGAGTTTGGAAAATGATAGTGCCTTCTTTTGAATGCTTGCGCTCCCTGTTCTCGTCAAGAAACTGGCCTCAATCGAAGCCACCTTTTCTGACTTTTTTCATAGTTTCTTAATATGCAAATTGTATATTTGAATTCAACGCTGAAATTCAAGTTTTCAGTTGTAATATCAATGTATATTTTTCTAAGTAACATTTTTTTGAGCTTTTTTGTGAAGGAGAAAGAAAACAAGGCCTTTGTTCTAACGGAATAGACATGAAATAAATGTACAATCTGCACTCATATGCCTGGTTTAATTTCAACGTATTATTGAATGCTTTGTACTTTAAGCTAGACTGCTGTGAAAGACAGATTTCACTTTGACACATCAAAGGTTTGAATAAGCTGCAAAAGTTTCCAGATACTCTTTAGAAGTCATACTCGCTCTCCCACACTCACTTCCTGTATCACATTTCAGAACCATTTTATTGACGCATTGACTCATTCAAACTTCATTGTTTTGAATGTCCACAGATGCATTGTTGATGTCATTTGTTTACGGAGCAAATGACTTAGCAGGCTACCTAAACTCTTGATGAAAACAGAAAGCTAAGTAAACATCTGTGCAGTGCCCTTATTTTGCCCACCAGCCCCAGACAAAATGGCAGGGCAGGAAGTCTAGACATGGAATATCCCTGGCCGGTAACCCAGCAGTGACCGGAGGAGGTGATGTCAGGAGAAAATGTCCTGGGACTTGCGAGGCAGACAGATGCGTCTGCTGTGCAAGTGTGTTCCTCCCTGGGATTTCCTATCATGTCTCTCTTAATGTCTGTCCAAGTCTCTGTAACAAAGTCAAAGCCACCTTTTTATAAGCCACACAATGGTCTCTCCCTTTAAACTGCATTAAAGGCTTGTGTTGTCATTATTATTATTGATCACCAGGGAGGCTGATTGCTGAAATGAAGTGATAGGACAGGCTGGATAGATGTTTTTCCAACACGGGGAGGAAAGCCTTGGATGCAGAGCAGTGTTTACGTCCAAAACAGGATGTTCCAGCCAGTTGCAGCTTTTCCTTTTGATCATGTACTTGAAGGAAGGTGAACTCCGACATCTCAACCCTGAGGTGTTGGCTTACACAAACACATCCAAACACGTGCAACATGCACACTCATTCAAAGACCCTGAAATAGATAGGATAGGAGTGTGCTAGGATTATATGCGTAAAAAAAACCTGTCACCTGGCCTGGAAAACTGTATTAGCTGTTGCCTTTTCTTCTTTTTAATTCCCAGTGGGTGAGAGGGGGATGCATTGGTGAAAACAAGGACTGAGGGCTCAAATGTAGAGGATGGAAAAACAGACATTTGTTGGTGAAACGCTCAGACATCTGTTCACACATCCCTTTAATGTGACACAAAAAGCTGGAAGCACAAAATCCCATTGCCATCCACAGTATTCTGGTTGCTCACTGCTCCCAAAGGTGAGTAAACCACACACAAACACACGTTTCCTCTCTGGCAGGAAGTGGCAGGCTAAGCGGGGGAGAGAGTTAATATCTGAGGTAAAAGCACTATAAATAGGGAGCATTGTAGTTGTGGCTGGCAAGCGTAGACATTGGAGAGAGGGAGACAGGAAAGGCCGTGTTACACAAATTTACAGCACCCTTAACTGCACCGCCTCGATTACATGTGAGAAAACATTGGCTGCGTTTTCAAAGAAAGCTGTGTTTTACACCGTCAGCAAAATCACTTGAACTGTCCTTTGAGAACATCAGAGGAGGTCAGAATAATGACATCACTTTTTCTTTGGCCTTTTAAGGTGTAATCTAGTGCTGATGTCCAGCTGTGTGGGAATCATGCTTGCATCTTAGCTTTGGAAGAATGTTTCATTATCTTCTTATGACATCCTGAGCCTCATCTTCTGCTGTTCTGGTTGAACGTGTGTGTGTGTGTGTGTGGGTGGGTGAAGGTTGCTCTTTGTGTTATTCAGGGATAATGTACAGTACAGATGGGTAGTTGAAAATAGACCAACAACAGGGAGACAAGACAAAATAAAGAAAAACAACTTGTTACACATAAAAGCAAGATCAATACAATAGTTTCATATTGTAACTTACTACATAAGTTTTGTTTTGTATCAATACTGTTCATTTACCAAAAAATGGATGTCTGTAGAAACACAAATTATATGAAAGTTGCTCTCAAGTATGCATTGCTTCTTTGTTCAGGTCATGGGAGAAAAAAAGCTGAGAAGCGCTCCTCCAGTTTACTGGTACATTTTGTGCCTTAGGTTGGTCAAATGAATCTTCCTGTCCAGAACAGCTGCGTTTATCTGGGTCTACATGTATACTTACACTTGTTAGTGCGTACATGTGTTAGCAGACACCTATCGTTAGACAGGTGGCCGGCAGTGTCACATGTCACTGATTGACTAATTCCCCACTCAAAGGTGACAGAGTGCAATCCAACACTTTGTAACCATGGTTCCCATGAATGCCGTGCCCTCCCCTCCACCTCTGCATTTCAGTGTGATTTACATCTTCATAATAAGCTGTAATGACTGGTTTTGTTCATGCCAGCCACCCAGGAGTACCTGAAATTTGGAAATCCCTCTAGTACACGCCTGGCTTTATTTATCATTGTTTTGTTTTAGAAAATTCTGGCATAACAGAAGCAAGTCACATATGTTCAAGCCACTATGCTCCCTGTTTGCTCTTCTGGAAGAAAAGCTCACATCTCTTGTAGTTGAAATCTCACAGGAGTTTTCAGTTTGATCCATGGGCTGGAAAACAATCCAAAAACAATAAACAGTTAAACTTAATACGTTTATATTATGGCGTGAATAAGAATAAGTATTAGTCATCTGTTTTGTTTCCTCCAGCAGGCAACCACCTGGCCTAACTTAAAACAGCAGACACTCATGCTTTTTAAATCACCAGCCATAAGCACAAAACATTTGCTGTATGGGGGTGTTATTTGGACTATATTTTCCATCACATTAATTACTGTACTTATGATGCAAAATGTCTCTACAGAGAAAGCGGCCTTTTCCTTGCAGCTGTCAGTTAGAGGAAGAGAGAGTGAGATACTGATGGGCAGCTGATAGGCAACTGTGCGTGTTGTTGACTTGACCGAGATAAAACCTGGAAAACCCAGAATTCAGGTTGTAACGCTGCTCGTAAATCGTGCTCAGTTTATGGGGAGCAGATGGCAACATTGTTTGTGTTGATGTGCTTTGCGGTATTCAGAGCAACTCATTCAAATCAAGTGTTTCTCAAAGGACAAGTCCTGCCAGCCCTACTAAGTACTCCTGTTACAAGAAAAAGGAGTGCCACAGCACCACAGACTATTTGACACACATGCTGCCAAGCATTTATTCCATTTTGGAATTGTGTTGCCATGCCACCGAAACATTTCCCATTCTGTGTTTGCTGCAAATAAGTGTGTGTATTACAGAATATGAGAGAGGAAAGTGGGAAAATGGCAGTTTTACTCTGTGGAAGGACACATGCTGAGAGAGAGGAAACACATGCCCCTTCCCCTATGAATCCCTTTTCTTTTGTGAGCAAAGGGTAGTACACACAGGAGACTGGCTGTTGACTTGCTACATACACAGTGATGACTGAGTGCCAAACAATGGGCGACTGAAATAGACATGTTGTTGCAACGGCTGGTCCACATTCATCCATCACACCAGTCACATCTGGGTCGACTAGTGCTGCCTGGAGTGCCTTCCTCCTGTTCTGAATCCAGAGCTGCTGCTTCTCATGAATCAAGATGAAACATCAGCCGTGTCGTCAGTGAATATCTTCCAAAAATAATGAACAGTTCCTGAGGGAAAAAACATATAACAAATGAACAGAGTTGTTCTGTGGGGGGATGAACGTTTTTTAATGGGTAAAAGAAAAAATTTTACAATTTTTAAAGTCAGTGTTTATCATTAAAAGACACCAGGCAGGACAGACCCTCGGCTGTTATCACATTTTAAGACTTGACTCCAAGACTATAATACACAGCAACCAGAACATTTCACCTTTGACCTCCAAAACCTGCACCTGCTCCTCGAGGAACTGTGAACTCTAAGTTGAGGTGAATGACAAAAACAAAATGAATAGCAAATGTGCTGGTGATCATAAAGATCTGAAGGTTCAAAGTATAAATTTGTACATTTTATACTTGCACATGTGTTTCACATACTTTCTGAATAGATGGCCTGAGTGATGCTTTACATTTTTGCCTCTCCCACCTTCAAAACTCTGATTGGTCAATTATTTCTCTTACTGGGGAACACAGCTGTCAGTGGGAGCAACACCAGACCTATCTAATCACTGAACAAATCTGAGAAGCGGGTGACAATTCAGAGGCCCAGAATCAGGCTAGGAGGCATTTGCTTCTTGCCCCAAGTGACATTCTTGCCGCAGTGTGCATATTACAAATCTCTGGTGAGTAAAAATGTTAACATGACTAATAGTCATAAAAAAATGTGAGAATATAACCCTGGTTGAGATTTAGATTTCCTTTAATGTAATGATGGAGTTCCATGTAAGTTTAATATAAAATATGTAAATCTGTAGCCCAATGCGACACATCACCATAAATGATTTGCATGGCTGTCAATTCTTACACTGTGTTTCTACTGCTCAGAGAAGCTTACAAGCATCTGCTATTTTTCTGTTCCTCATACCAGTACAAAAAATTACTAAAAGGTCATTTTTACCTTATGTATATTGATACAGTTTGCATGTATACTAATAGATGAAAAAGAAAACCTACTAACACACCAGCTCTTTACAGAGGTGGGTTCATTTAACTACAGATATACAGCGCATAGAGTGAGAACAAAAAAAGTCTGATGTTTGATCACATCTACTCTACCACTAGTGCGTACAGGAAAGGCGCCTGCCACGGTCACTCATCTGTAAACATGGGCAGACGAGTAGGCAGCAGTTGCCGATGTTATCACCACAGACATTAGCCACAGGGCAAACAACAAAGGAAAATGAAAATGCTAATTAAGTTACAATTAAGTCCCTGGATAAACTAGTTAAAATGTTTCTGGCTGACCAACAAACACAGCTCAAAGACATTTTATAGTAATGTTAAAAAAAAGGAATACTGGAAGATTTATCTCGTCACCCCACAGTATAACATCTGAAGAAGCAAACATTTACATTGAGAGTTAGCACTTAGCACTGGCTCAGATGAGATAATTTGAAGGTAGGAAGTAGGATGAAGCCAATTTTCAGTCAATTTTAAGTCTCACAAAATGTATGTTGCAAAACTGATTTGCACTTCATCCTACAGCT